GTGGGAAATGGTGTGGTGCGGACTCTGGACTCACTGCTCGCTCAGCCCAGTGCTGCCCGGCCAGTTCCGACCTGGCGACCCTGCGGGACTGGGTAGGCGTGCTCCCTAGGCCTTTGTGTTTGAGGCTGTAAGCTTTTACGGGAGTACCAGCCTCGTCTTTCTCCTGAGGAACAGCTGGTGGGTTAGAACCACCAGCCTTGTGGTTTGTGCACCAGTGCTTGGCCTGCTGCAGCACAAGGGCTCTTCCAGTGGCACGACCGTAGTCACCTTAGAAAGCCATAGAATGCCCGAACCCGTTAGCTCCTCTGCCGACTGAGAGGGAGGTCAGTGCCCGACGCGGGATTTCAACACTCGGCACAGGAGAATGGCTTTCATTGAAGGACTACTGGTTCCAAAGGGGAAAAAATGGAGCGACTAAAGTCCAGGGAAAACGGCTCAAGAATGCTTCAGCTTCCCTCACAGCCAGTAAGAGCCAGGAAGCGGTGCCGGCCTGGAGAACGAAGGGAGGCCCTGCAGGACCAAGCTGGCTTTGGTTGTTGCTCAAGTGCTGGAGACAAAGACCCCGCACCGGAGGCATGCCTGGCGGTCCGTGAGGTCTCGGGAAACCCTTCAGGATTGAAGCACATCCAGCAACACCGAACTTGGCAGTTGAGGGGAAAGAACTGAAACACAACATACAGTTTGGAAGCAAAAGCCTCCTGAAACCCTGTAGCTTTGTCCTTGAAGGCCGGTCTTTTTCTCCATTTTGTAAGTCAAGTGTCTCTGCCAGGGGTCGGCCAGCTCTCGAGATGGAAGAGCCGATCCTCTCCCTCACACGATTTAAAAAGTGTTCAGGAGCCACAAGTATGTTTTTATAAACAGAGGGAATCACCGCTGTCTGAATAATACCCTCGGGAAATTTCCAGTGCTACTTCAGAGCTGCACGCACGCACCAGGAGAGCTGCGTAGGAGCCTGCCAGCCCTGCTGCTCTCTCCCGGGGTCTCTGGACACAAGGGAAGTTGCCTCGGGGCATTTGCCTTCCCCCCTCTCAGCTCTAACCCCCCACCCCAGGTTACCATCCTTGACCCGGGGTGTGGCTCCAACAGCCGGGGACACCCCCCCTCCCCAATTCCAGCCCTTCTAAATGTAGGTGGCTTAGTCTCTCCATGCAACTACTTGGCTTTGCCCCCCTGACAGTCAGTACCTTCCTCGTTAGCCCAACTTCGTCTCATCCCGAGTGAGGCTCTTGTTCCCCGAGCTGTGTGTTTGATTGGTGGGGGGGTGGGGGGTGGGGTGCATGCTGCCTGGGGCATCCAGAGCATCGAGCATGGAGCAGAGCAACCAGATCTTGACCCAAGTAGGAAACAGGCCGCGCTGCCCTGCGTCCAACCAGGCCCCTGTGACGGTGCGTCCCTCGCCACAGTCCAACCGGTCAGCAGCCCTGGGGTGACCCGTTGTCACTCACTGCTCTGCAGGGCTCAGCGGGCAGTTGTTACTCCCGTGGTCCTTGCTCTGTCTTGGTGCCCCAGCTGTATCCTGGCCCGTTGCCTGCCTCCCCCGCCCTGTAACGCATCTGGAGCAGGAGGTGCTCAGTCACTTGTCTGTACAGACAGGTCTGTCTGCAGGGGCCGGGAGGATAGCTGCGTGCAGATGCATGTGAGGAGGCCGACCAGGTGGCCCACCGTCTCATCTGGCTCCTCTCACGTGGGATGGCCATGCCTACCCTCTACCTGCGAGGTCGCTACACCACGAGGCTTGGTCATGGCCTTGGGCCTCACGGCAGCTGTGTCTTGGCTGTGGGTCTCCTGTAGGTGGGGATGGCCCTGAAGCCCTTCCTGCCCCAGCTGCAGACCACGTTCACCAAGGCCCTGCAGGACACCAATCGGGGTGTGCGCCTGAAGGCCGCCGAGGCCCTGGGGAAGCTCATCTCCATCCACGTCAAGGTGGACCCGCTCTTCTCCGAGCTGCTCGGTGGGATCCGAGTCGCGGAGGATTCAGGCATCAGGTGCCTGCCGGGGGCCGCAGGGATCCAGGCCGTATCCGTCTGGGGGGCTTGGGTGGAGGGCACCGTGTGAGGGGAGCGCCAGGTCTAAGGAGGGGGGCGGGTGCTGCACTGCCTCTGCAGGGACACCATGCTGCAGGCCCTGCGGTTTGTGATTCAGGGAGCTGGCTCCAAAGTGGACGCGGCCATCCGGAAGAACGTCGTCTCTCTCCTGCTGAGCATGCTGGGACACGATGAGGTAAGCCCTGGCCGTGGGCTCTTGATGGGACATGCAGGTGACTTCACAGTGACGCCCTCAGTCTCGGGTGTTGGCTAGTCTGCTTTGCCAATGAGGACCAGGGGCTGTGGAGGGTCCCAGCTCTATCATCGTGTGTCCTCTGGTCCCAAATAAACCATGTGCCCTCACTGCCCTTGGTTTTCCCCCTTTGCTCACTTGCTTGTTCAGGAAACATTGGCCCTCCTGGTGGGTGAGTCAGGTATGGCCATCAGCTCAGGTCAGTGATCTCTAGTGCTGAGGGTGGGACGTCTTAGGTTGGGGGCAGGACCTGTCTGGGGCCACACTCTAGTGAGTAGTCTAGTAAGAGACAGAAGCTGGGCCCTGTGGCCCCTGGATGTCTGCCTACCTGCCCTCACAGGTGCCCCTTCCACACCCAGTGGGGAAACACTGACGAGCCGTGGCTGGCCCAGGCAGGGTTTGAGGCTGTGGGCCCTCCCAGACAGCCCTTTGTGTGGTGGCCTGATTGACAGATGTGGGGCTAGCCTCTGGACAGAGTGCTGTGGGGCCCATTGTGGTTTGCATGGTGGAGGGGTGGGTAGTCCTGGCTCACACAGGCCCCCGTGATGCTGCTGGCGGATCCGGGTCTGTGAGCCAGCTTCTAATCCCTGCCCCTGCTCCCTAATGATGGCCTCCGGCCTCCTCTGCGGGCAGCCCTGACTCTCTCGCCTCTCTCAGCCACAGGCTGGCAGGGCTGTTCAGGGCAGCGCCCAGCTCAAGCACTAGCTAGTCCTAAACAAATTGTCATCTCACCACACTGGAGCCTAAAATAGATCCGGTTGGAGAGAGTGGGCGTCAGGGAGCCCGCCTTAGCCTTCTTTGGCACTTGGGGTTCTGCCGAGAGGCCAGAGCGGCTGGCAAGCCACACCCTCCTCCCCCTCAGAACTTACAGGGCTTGGAAATGGCAGTCCAGGCTGTGGGCCTGGCACCAGCTTCTCCACAGGACCCCGTTGTTGTTGTTCGTGTTTTGTTTTGTGTGATTGCAGAGGGGTGTGGGGAGTGGCATGTCAAACGGACAGCTGTAACTCTAGCACACAGAATAAAGCCGACTCCCCACCTGCAGGGTACTGTGTGGGGCAGTGCAGCACGGGGCAGCTGTGTGCATGACGGTGCTTCTCAGAGAGAAGGCTTGGCCTTGACTCGTCCTTAGGGCGATGGGGGGTGGGCTTCCGTTTGACCTCCTTGGACAAACAGAATAACTGAGGTGGCAGTATGACACCACTGCCCAGTAAGGAGATACATATGGGAGCCGTCTGACATCAGGGGATACCAACCGGCTTGACCGGGTACACCTCTGATGGTAACTGAGCTAATAAAGGTGAAGCCTTCAGACTTCCTCCAGAGAAAGGTGCTATGTAAAGACAGTCATTACGAGGCTGCAGCTGATTACCATATGCACACACACAGGCGTTTGCTATAATTAAGTGCTGGGTGTGTAATTCTCCACGCCACTCCATGTGGCGGTCTAAGTGAATGGCAGTCCCTGCCTGGCACGAGGCGCTGGAGTAAGGACTGGGGTAGCGCTTTCTTCCTGCTCCTCCATGCTGGGCTCCAGAGTTGCCCTGCCCGGGTGTTTGCACCGAGGGCTAGTCCACACACCTTTTCATGCCTGCCCGGCTCCCGCAGGACAACACTCGGATATCCTCGGCCGGATGCCTCGGGGAGCTGTGTGCCTTTCTGACGGAGGAGGAGCTTAGCAGTGTTCTCCAGCAGTACCTGCTCGGTAGGTCTCTCCCCTGGGAGTTGTCCTTGGGGTGGATTGTGGGCCCCTTGGCCCGGGGGAAGACCACGTGTCCCCCCCCTTAACCCTCGAAGTCTGTGAGCCAAGTGCTCACAACAAAATGGAGGGGTTGGGATAATCTGGAAGATGTGCTCACTGCCACGGGATTTGATATGGGAGTTGTCAAGCCGGGAGCAGAACCCACAGGGCTTTCACTGGGGCCGGCCAAGCTCGAGGGCCTCTGTTCCATGCACAGCTCCACGCTGAGGCTGTCTGCCAGATGAGAGGGGGTCTGGGGACAGGGCGGCACACTAGGGCCTGGCCCGAGGTGTCACGGGCAGTTAGTTGACTCCAGCTTGCATCCTCCCCCAGCGGACGTGTCTGGCATCGACTGGATGGTCCGGCACGGGCGGAGCCTAGCGCTCTCCGTGGCAGTGCGTGTGGCTCCCGGCAGGCTTTGTGCCGGCAAGTACGGCAGCGATGTCCAGGATATGATCCTCAGCAGTGCCGTGGCCGACAGGGTAAGGCTTGGGGCGGTCAGACCTCATCATCTCCTCCCACCCCAAGTCTTGGCTGCCACAGCAGAGAGGGAGGGAACCCCAGACCGGCCGACTCTTTGTTATCCATTGCGGCAACCTTAGATAAGTACTCGATCTCCCAAAAGATGGGTTCGGGTGAGAGGTGGCCTCTTCTAAATTTACAGCTGCTCAGAATTCATCTGCCCTGCCTGTTACCAGGGCAGCTTTGGGAGGGGAGCTATTGCAGGGTCTTCGTTGTAAAGGAATCCGGAGGGAGACGGGTGGTGGGCAGCCAGCACCGAGGCCTCCTGGGAAGGGGTTTCAGCTTGGCCCTGCTGCTCTGAGGACGGAGCTGGAAGCTGTCTTCCCGTCGAGCCTCTTCCACGGTCTCCCCGTCCCCTTCCACAGATCCCCATTGCGGTCAGCGGGGTCCGGGGCATGGGTTTTCTGATGAGATATCACATCGAGACTGGAGGGGGCCAGCTGCCAGCTAAACTCTCCACTCTGCTCATTAAGGTGAGTGGGGCAGGGACCAGGCTTGAACCTCTACACCTGGGCTGTGAGCAGGATGTGGGGCCTCGGAACACCGGAAGCTCAATGCTCAGACTTGGAGCCAGCGCTGTCCCCATGCACCCTCGCCTGCGGAGTGGCTAGCTCAGATTCCCAGAGCTCTCGGGTCAAACCAAGCGGAGAACGGCTGTTTGCAGCATCTTTCCTAGGAGCTCTGGTCACCCTGCCATTATAGCATGAGGGACCAGATGGTGCAACTCTTCTCCCTGCCTCCCATCTTTAGCTGGCACGGCCCCCTTCATGTGGGGCTTGTAGGGTAAACCCATAAAACCCGAACCCCTGGCCTGAGTCCATTCCAACTCAGATGGCCCTGCGTCAGGTTTCTGGCGCTAAATCTTCAACTGAATGTTCTTCTTTGAAGCGACTGGTGGGTTTGAACTACTGACCTTGTTGAGTCACAAGGTCCTCCCTAGGCAAACTGTGGACTGGGGATGGTGGGGCTCCCTCCAGCTGTAACCCAGCGGGTCTGCACACAGAGAATGAGACTGTTTTAGTCAGGTAGTATGAGCCTGGCCTCTGCTTTTCCAGCTAGCTTCCAGAGCTCACTGTGGACATACGTATTACGTCTGGCCCCCATGTGAGCATCAGCTGGCACTGGTTTATGCTGCATAGTCTCTTGAGTACCCACTGTGTGCTCAGCAGGGCCAGACCCTGCAGATAGAGATGAGCAGGACCCCTGGGGTCAAGGGCACTCATGACACCATACTCAGAGGACCCCAGTCTGGACAGGGCTGTCTGGGAAGGGCCTGCAGATATGACTTTGAAGCTGAGACCTAAGGAATGAGAGAGAACCAGCTAGGCGAAGAGCCGGGATGAGCACATCAGGCAGTGGGGGCAGCGGGCTGAGGCGGCAGGAAAGTGCGGGCACGTTTGAGGAAGTGAGAGCCCCGGGTGGGTGCAGAGGAGTGTGTGGGGCCCAGGCAGCTACTGGTGTGCAGCACCCCTCTCTGACGGAGGAGGCCGTGGTGGCACTGGAGGGAGCGGCTCTTTGTCAGAGATGAACGGGGGCTTCCGTGTTCAGGGGACAGGCTGGCCGAGCCTGACCGGAAGCTGCGCTGCTCCTTCCCACAGTGTCTGCAGAACCCGTCCAGTGACATCAGGCTGGTGGCGGAGAAGATGATCTGGTGGGCAAATAAGGACCCGCTGCCCCCCCTGGAGCCCCAGGCCATCAAGCCCATTCTGAAGGCGCTCCTGGACAACACCAAGGACAAAAACACCAGCGTCAGAGCCTACAGCGACCAGGCGATTGTCAACCTCCTCAAGATGAGGCAGGGCGAGGAGGTGTTCCAGGTGAGCGCCTGGTCCCCTGCTGCGCTGCACTGCGGAGGTGCCAGCTCTGAGCAGCAGGTTGTGACTCGCATGTCTGCCGTGGTGCCTACCACCCTCACCCCCTCTACTCTGGTGGCTCCTAAGTGCCTTTGGCTGGCAGAGCTTTCTGCCAATGGAATCCCCCTCGGCTCCAGCCAGAGCTACCAAACAGATGGAGGAGCACTGCCCCACGGAAGCCCAGAAACCCTCCCCTCCATCTGCTACCCGCCCCAGGGTCGTAACTGCTCACCGCCTGAAATGCATCACGCCCAGCCATGTTTCCTCAGCTGCCCTGGGCCCGTCTCATTTCCTCATTTTGCCAGATTCCTCCTTCATTCAACCCTCCATTTTTACCGTCCTTTGATTCCAGGCAAAGTCTGAAGCTCTAGGTCAGCGGTTCTCAACCTGTGGGTTGTGACCCCTTTGGGGGTCGAACAACCCTTTCACAGGGGTCACCCGATTCATAACAGTTGCAGAATGACAGTGATGAAGTAGCAACGAAAATAATTTTATGGTTGGGGGTCCCCACAACATGAGGAGCTATGTGAAAGGGTGGCGGCATGAGGAAGGCTGAGAACCACTGCTCTGAGTCCTAACTACGTGATCTCTTTCTCTCCCTGTCCCTCTCTGCCCATAGTCTCTCTCCAAGATCCTGGACGTGGCCAGTTTGGAGGTGCTTAGTGAGTGCCACCGCAGGTCCCTGAGGAAGCTGGCCAGCCAGGCTGACTCCACCGAGCAGGTGGACGACACCATCCTGACCTGATGGCCAGCCCCGCCTGCCCACCCACCCACTGAGCTCCACGCCAGCATCGGCTCCACATCTCCGCTCGATGTTTTCATTTTTGAAAATGCGTTTGTTCTGATGGGGAGCTTAGGAGGCGGCGTTCACAGAACGCGTTTTACTGTATCAGCAGACCACAGCCAAAGCCTTAAACCCAACCCCGACACAACCGCAGGTCGCCACCTCCGCCCTGCACCCTTTCTGTGGCGGAGGGAAGAAAAAGCACACAGGGATGCCCACCACCGTGCAGCCGTGGCCTGGGCACCCCGCTTCGCGTGGCCAGCCCTGAGCGAGGAGGGCCAGACCTCTGGTTCCTCAGCTCCTGTGTGTGACCTTTTGCCCAGGTCCTGAGCAAGCCCAGAACCACCGTAGGCCGTCCCGCAGGGTGGTCTCAGCTTGGCTTTTCCCGAGTGTGCAGCCTGATAGGATCAGCTCGTCAGATGAGAGCAAAGCCCACGGCAGCCCTGGCCGTCCCCACTGCTGGGGAGGGCACAGGTGTGGATACGGGCTGCTGGAGGGAGCAGAGTTTAATAAAGGCTTTGATTGAATCTGGATAGAAAGACTGTTTTCCCCCAAATTCCCAAGTGCCTGTTAGATCTGAAGCTGCATGCATCAAGGAATAGGGCAGGTGTGCTGCTATTTCTCTAAGTGTTATCAGAACACAGGCAGGATTTCTTGTGAGCCAGGTGGCATGGTGGTTAAAGTACTCAGTTGCTACCCAAAATGTTGGCAGTTCTAACACACCAGCCCTTCCACAGAGGAAAGATGAGGCCGCCTGCTTCCATAAAGACGCCAGCCATGGAGTGCTAGTTCCTGTCTGTGCTGCATGGCCGCTGGGAGCCAGAAGGCGTCCTCTGCCTGTTCCGTGGTGTCTCGCAGGGACCACTGACCCATGTATCTGCACTCGGGTCCTGGGAGGTGGGCCCCGGGCCTGCCCTGCGCTGCTTGATGCGGGCAGCTGCGAGGAGTCAGGTTTGATGAGAACTCACAAGAGGAAGCCAGGATTGCTGTTCTGCTTCCTTCGTGAACAACTTCCTTCCTCCAGATTCTTAGAAGGCCCGTGATGCACGTGTCCCGGCTGGGGGAGCATGCCCCTGCCGGGCTCAGTGGTGCAGGATTTCCTGGGCTGTTTCTGTGGCCACAATGTGGGACAAGCCTCTCCCCAAGTGACTGGCCGGAGCTGCAAAAGGAAGGGGACCCAAAAGCGGCAGCAGCCCGTGCTTGCTGTGCCAAAGGTACAAGATCCTGGATGCTAGCAAAAGCCAGGCTGTGCTGCTTCGTAGCTGCCGCAGAGGTAGGAGGGCAGCTTGTGACTCACCACGTAGGATGCCTGAGACAAGGTGCCCTCTCAGGCACTGGTGATATGCCGGCTTCTCTCCCGCAGCTGCCTGTGTCGCAGGATTGCTAGTGCCTCGCCCCAGACAGGGACAGGCTCAGCTGGCTCACGGAACTGTAGGATCACCAGGGAAGTCAGCCGAGTGGCTCCCCATAGCCACAGCAGCCCATGGCTGCAGCTTCTGGTAGCCATAGTAACTGCCCTGTCTGGGATTCAGATGGTCATCAGCCTCCTCGCAGCTGCCCGGGGGCGTATGTCCAACATGCTGCTTGCCCACACGTGTGCGCACCTGTGCATGCAAGCCTGGGTCGGCCCCCCTGGGCTTCTACCTTCAGGGTCTTCAGACACCTGTGTCCACCGCTGCGGTGTGCAGTCACCCCAGTCTGAGACTGGGAGGGGGCTGCTTGTCAAGCACAATCCCAGGGAAAAACTCGGTTCCAGTTCCAGAAAGTGGAGGAGGGCGAGTTCTCTCTGTTCAGAATAGAAGGATGAGGTTGATTCACAGACGGAGATGACTCAAAGGCTCCCCAGCATGTGGAGCTGCAGTCTCTGCGCCCAGGAGGAGGGTGCCAGCGCCCAGGAAGTGAGCTGAGAAAGGGGATGGCAATCTAGGGAGCAGCAGCCCGGACCAGACACCCGGGAGGGAGGAGGCGAGGCTGGCGGCAGAGATGCGAAGGGGAAACGGCCCTGGTGGGTGGGCGAGCTGTGTGGCCTGGCCAAGTCACTTCACCTCTCTGGGCCAGTATCATTTTCCCATCTGAAAATTGGGGCGTTTTGGAATGGAACCTACCTTTAAAGTCCTCCTTTGGAGTAAATGGTGACGATTCCACTGACGATGTATTGTGTGCCAGGCATGGTTTCCTGGGTGTCTCCACTCCAAGAAGCCTTCTCTCATTACTGCCATTTTACAGGGGTCACCGAGCCACATAGAGATGAGTGGCAGCCTGTCCCCAGAGCCCACCCTTTTTGCCACTCTGACCTCCACGGTGCCGGCTGCTCAAAAGCCCACCCCTACCCCTTTCTATAGAAAAGCCACTAAAAATTATCCTCCAAAACTTTCCGTCCTGCCGAGAGGGAATGGTCTCGGCTTTCTCTGAAGTGTCTGAAAGTCGTTGACAAAGTGTGGCCTCTTAGCTGGTGCCAAGAATAGCCCTTCAAGAGAGCATGGGGGCCTCTGGGAGCAAGGTGATTTTCAAAAGGTGGGGTGGGGCCACCTCCCCTAGAAACTGCTCATTCCCCTGTCCGGAAGCCAGAGGAGCAAGGTGGGGGGTGGGGGGGCGTGTTGATGCTGAAACAAGATGGGCAGTTTATAGAGTTTTCCCGTGAAGTCTGGCTCAGCGTGGATGTTTTACATTGTTTCAAGATTTGGAAATCAAAGTTAAGCGACAGGGAACCAAAAGTATGGGTCCTAAAGTATCTTCATGGAATCCTGGGGCCACATGAACTGGGAAGGCAGACTTGAACCAGCCCTGCTCAGTAGTTTTGTGACAGAGCATGGTCCCTAGCCTCTTGAGCCCCTGTGTCCTCACCCATGTACAGTGCACAGGGTGGGTGCCTGGACTGAATGAGGCAGTGGGTTCCACGGGGCCAGGTACCCAGGAGGCCCTAAGGACCTGGAAAGGGGAGCCAGTGAGGGAAGTCCATGAAGAAGCTGAACAATGGGCACCTCTTATTGCATAAGAGGGGTCAAGTGAAGTGCTGCTTCTAGAGTTCATTGCTGGACCTAGAATTTAACACTGCACCCCACCCCCAGCCCTTAGTGTGGAAAGCTTCAAAACAAAATGAAAACACTCAAACTCATTGTTACCTAGTCAATTCACACTCACAGCAGATTAGAATACCCCCTCAGGTTTCCTCCACTAACTCTTCAGGGGAGTTAGAAAGCCAAATCCTTTTCCCATGTAGCTGCCAATAGTTTCGAACTGCTGACCTTGCAGTTAGCAGCCTCGAGGCATAACCACTCTGCGACCAGGGAGCTAGTCAAAAACACCATGCTTTTCATTGCCTAAAAAACACATTCAGAGGAAGGTTTGTAGAGAATCATGCTGGCTGTGCTTGGGCAGCTAACAGACCGATGAGAGGTGGACAGGTGGAGTGATGGAGGGCCGGAGAGCCTCGTCCTTTGATGGGACTGGAAACCAGGCAGCCAGAGTTGGTACAGCCCCACCTTCTTTGATCTGTCTGGTCACCCAGCCCCAGAGGGTATTCTATGAAAACAATAGCGGAAAATAGAAACTGGTCCTTCTCGGCTGGGTTTCACTTTTCAGAAGAGGTGGAGGCAGACCTTTTCCCAGTGGTTCAGAGTTGCCCCTCAGCCGTTGCTGCTCTAGTAGAATGGTCCAAATTGGGTAGGTGCTGACGTCACAGCTTATGGAACTGGAAAAGCTGGTCCAAGGATTAACTACAGTCTCGGGATTTCTGGGTGAGACAGTTTCCCGAGTGTGCCAGAATGGAGCACACGGGTCATTCCCTCCGCAGTGTTCGCGTTACTCCGGTGAGATGGCAGACTGGCCGCAGAGCCTGTGGGGGTGTGTGTGACCATCCAGACAGCAGGGACACAGGCTACATTAGGTGCTACTTACGATTGAGTTGCACACAAGCAAGGCTGGGGTGCAGCAGTCTCTCACAACTCCTTAAGGATGAGGGCTCTGTTCTGTGCCTGTCCCGTGCCCAGCACAGTGCCTGTTCCACAACACGGCACAGGCCACACTCACACTGAACGAATCCTGTTTGCCATCTTTCAACAGGCACACTCTCGGTCTGGCTGCTAGTGTTCACATGCTGCCTTTGGCATCTTGCCCCACTACCTGCTGTGGCCTCAAAGCTTTGTTGCTGCTTCCTATGAAAGCATTTCAATGTTTCCCCTGGGTCCACAACTTCCAATCCCCCCCCCACCCCGCCCCACTCCATGTATGAAGCGAATGTGCAAACAGGTGGTGCAGCAAAAGCCCATCTGTAAATTGTTTGCAGGGGAGAAGCGGTA